GCAGTTCGACAAAAGGCCGTCCCCCATTGGGCTAATATATATATATATAGAATATGTATATATACATTCGTCATCGTGACTTCATGGGCGGACCGTGGATCGCGGATCGAGGATCGGGGATCACGATTCGAGGAGCACGGGTCACGTATCAAGGATCACACAGATCGCTGGTCCGCGGACGCAGTTCACGTACAGTAAAACCATATTGCAGGGCTCGTCGGCGGCACAGGACTCGGGGCTCTGGGTGTTGCGACTCATAGGACTACATGATCATAGCCGCGAGTGCTGTGCTAGCTCAAGGATATAAAAGTTATGAAGCCGAAGGATACGAAGTGCAGTGAATATCGATGAAGATGATGAGTGCAGTATGCAGTATTGGGTTATGCGAATGTTCCAGTATCATATGCTTATTGATGGACTAACGCTTGCGCCAGGACAATGGCTCCTTCTCCAGCTCCTTGGCCCGCATGGCGGCCTCCTGGTTGCGTCGCATGATCTCCAGCTGCTCCATTTCGGAGACCAGGGTATACCGATTGCCGTCCTTCTTCAGATACCCATTATTCACGGCGGCGTGCAGGGTGTGCGGCACATGGCGTTTCAGCTCAACCTCCGGTCGCTGGAGTCTCAGGGCCAGGGTATTTATGATCTCCGGATAGCTGACCGATCGCGAGTATTCCTTCATCAGCGAGAGGACGGCGGTGAAGAGGTCCGGAAGTGGCTGTTTGCGCCAGCGGACAAAGGGTTTGCCGCCATGACGCTGCACTGGATGCATCAGATGATGATGGTGATGATGATGATGATGGTTACCTTGAAGGGGCGGAAAGTCCTGGTCCAGGAAGTGTGATGGCGTGGGCAGTAGGGGCTGGGAGACGGCCGCCAGAACCCCCTGCGAAATGGCCGGAAGTAGGGGTAGCGATACCGCCGGAAGCAGTGATTGCGGAACCGGAAGTGGCAGCTGAACCGGAACCAGCGAGCCAATGCCCAGCAAAGAGGGCTTAAAGACAGCCGCCTCGGCATTCAGCCGAAAGTCTCGAGGCAGCTGCGAGGGACCACTGTGGCTCGGCTTGGGCAGGAGACCGCCATCATAGAGGGTCTCCACTGTGGCACCGGGCATCGTATAGGCCGTGGCATCGGCATTCAACTTGGAGTTGGCCGCCTTCAGCAGGACGGAGGCAGAAGGCTTCAGTTTCTCGAGCAGATCCGTGTCCAGCTCCTTTTTGCGCACCGCCAGCGAATCGCCCTCCTCCGTCTTGCATTCCGTTTCCCTAACAACACTGCCCTTGACACTCGGCGAATCACCATTATCCTGGGCAGGGCCATGGGCGTGGGCGTGGGGGACTGGGCCTTGGGGCCCCATTGGTCCACCAACTCCAGTCCCAGATCCATGTCCTTGCCCCTGATCGCTGCTCGTGCTGGTGCTGCTCGTGGTGCTGGTACTGCTGCTGGTGCTATTCGCACTGCTGCCGCCCTCCAAATGTCCACCCATATCCAGGTCGAGATCCCGCTGGAGACCCAGTCCCAGACCCCCCAGGCCCATGTGCATTTGGCGGGTCAGGTGCTGCATCTTGTGGCCCAAGCCCAAGTTGAGATTCAAACCGGATGTGAGATGCAGTTGGTGGTGCAGGTGCTGCTGCAGCTGGCTCAATTGTGTCAGATGATTTAGCTGAGTTAACCGATTCAACTGGCTCAACTGGCTCAGCTGGTTCAGCTGGTTCAGTTGGTTTAGCTGATTGAGATGGCGATTCAGTGGATGATAGTGACGAAGATGATGATGGTGGGGTCCACCAATGGCACCACCCAGCTTGGAGCCCAATATCAAACTGTGCCGGGCGGCCAATGCTTGTTGCGACAAATCGCCGAGCTTCACATGCCAGTCCTCCATAGTGCTCTTCCTTTGCCAGGATTTACTCGTTTGCGAATTTAAAAATTTCGAATACTTTTCGATATTCCCAAATGCGTGGGCGATCCTTCGACGAGGGCGAGATATAGTTTCTTAAGTTGCGATCTCTGGACGGCGCTTCTTCAGATGCGATTTCGGCTCGGGGATTCGGTAGTTGATGGCTGCTCTCGGGACTTTTCCTTTACCTTTTTTTGTAGCGGCTTCGTTGGGCTTATCTGCGGTTATCTGATTACGGTCTGGAGGAAAACCGGAAAAACAGGCAGTCTTTACACTTAGGACCAATAACCCAACGGAAGAACACGGTACAGATACGTTAATTTACAACAGTTTTTTGTGTGCTGCCGAAAGAGAAATTTTGCCGATCGAATGAAGGGTGTATGTGTTATGTATTATATTTACACAAGCCTCTAAGTGAAGTACGCTTAAATCGAAAATCTTAGCCTGCTGCCAAGTCATAAAAATATAAAATACATGCGTAATACAATCTTAGGGATTACAATAAAGGGATTAAAATATTTTATAAAATATTTTTTTAAACACCATACCATAATTTAACACATTTATCGTATATATCATAGATATATCTCTTAAGATACCTTACAATAATTTCAAATTTCATATCTAAAAATTCAGAAAACTCATCTCAAAGGGGCGTGTTGAGAGAAGCCCCACAATACCAAATTTAGTTCTTTGGTCCCAAAAAGGAAAACTGAATGTCTCTTATGGGGTGGAAAACGCAGACTCAATGTGTACATTGCATAAATAAAAAGGGAAACCTCAACAACCAAAGGGCATAACAATTTTGGGACCCGAGTTTTCAGGATTTGGTTGGGCTTTAGACCCAAAAAAGGATGACTTTGCCGCAGGCCAAAAACAAGCCAAATCCAGTTACCCAAAAAGCATCATGTAAAACAATATGCCGCCGAGGTCCCAAAGTTATGCGATAAGCAAATGAAAAAGGGGCACGCCCCTCTCGTTTGTTTAGTCCTTGTGATGAGGTGCGAAAAATCGCAAGAATTGGATTTCGTTCTTGAATTATGGCCAATCTGGCCAAGGGCGCATTACTTTTTTTTCCGCTGGGCGGCTGGCAATTGAATCGCACTAATTTGGTCGGTTTTTGTTGGGGGGGAGGAAGGGGAACTCAAAAAGGCTCAAAGGGGATAATCCGACGTTAGTGGGCGAACCCCAATGAGAAACCAGTTTATATAGTCGGGGGTGTTAATGTGCCACGTCACTTTTCCATCATTTCTCTCAAAGGCTCCGCAGTGTTGGGTAATTTCACAATTTTCAAATTACACACCGCAAAATCTCATTTAGCTGAGTAAAGCCAGTTGACTGGACTAAACTCTGGGACCAGACTGCGCTGCACAGCCAACGCACACACAAATTACTAAATGAGTTGCCCAGGGGGAAGTGGCGAGTAGGGAGTGGAAAGAAGGGGTTTCGGAAGGGGTTTTGGAAGGGGTTTGGAAGGGGTGGAGTTGGTGGTGCTGCTTCATTGTAATGTGCTCGCCTCACGCTCGCTTGGCCCCGTTCAACGGGCGTGAAAACAACGCACTTGCAGCTGGAAACCTAGGACCTCTCCTAGCTCCAAACAGGTATTATCACACATGAAAACGAGGGGGTGGACGTATGGCCAAGGACATAAGCGTGACTAAATCCCAAACGCAGTGACTTCCGCCTCCTTGGAGGGCTTGAATTGGAAGGGGGGAGGGGGTGGCAAGGAGCAGCGTGGCCGCATCCTGTTTGGAGCCTTTAAATGCCTGTTGGTGTCGCAACAATCAGTGAACTCAAACACAATCGCTTAACCAACGAAGTGCTCTATATATTCGATTAGGGATGTTAAGTGATAATCAAGCATGCAAAAACAATTATCGATTTATGCTAATTATCGGAAATGTCATTAATGTCACAAAAATATCGCTTTTATCGAAATCATCACTAGTATTTCTAATGCAGAGAAAGTTAATAGAAAGCATACAAATCTTCTGTGTAAAAAATTAGTTGAATTTTTAAAGAAATATTATTGCATTTCAATTTATACTCAATGTTAGATAAATAATCGATTTTATCGAAATTTACAATCGCATATCGATAATTTAAATAAATATTAAAAATATCTTAAAATAACGGACTGTAATGTAAAATATATGTGGATATTATGCATACCGCTTGGTCTGCTATATTGTTAGCTTTTGTCATCGCTAATCAGACCCAACTGGAGCACACATATATACCGGATCCTATGTATAGCCCGACAGGCGATGAGGACCATGATTTGAGCCCGAAGCTGACACCACATCAAACACAAAGGACGCGATTGAGGTCGCCCGTCTTAGTCAACGTATCCTTGTTGATATGACCGCAAGCTCAAGGCTCTCAAATGCCAGCATCACACCTCAGAGGGTATTCCTGCCCACTGGAAACTGTACGTCGGACATCGGACATCGGACACTGGACACTCTGCCTTCGAATTGCATTTCAATTAGCCCGTTTAGCTGCTGGCCAGGAGGCAGGGTGACGAGGAGGCAAATGGGAGGCCCAATGCAGTTGACACACAAGTCGCCCGGGATCCGGGGATTGCGTATACGCCGCACGTCGATCAGCTTGAAGGAGTGAACTTTACGGACCGGACCGCATCAGGCCATCAGGCAATCGTTTGTGGGCTTAACTCCCCGGCCAGTGGAGCTGGGAAACTAATTGGGGATTACTTGGTGGAATTATTCTCTACAGGAAACTGAGTCTCTCCGTGCTGTGCTGTTTAAGCCAGAAATTATTTACCTAGGCGAACGGAAACTACCAAGAGGCTTATGGATAATATACTTTCTGGTCTTATTCTGGCTTATCAAGCAGTTAGCATGAACAATAATAAGTATCTTCGAAGTGTTAAAAATGTATGTACTTCTAAACTTGTATTACTTATTAATGGTTGATGCTTTTTAAATACTTGCAACAAATATGGGTTTTGATTTTTCTAGCTTTCGTTTAAGAACTTAAGTTAGACATTTTTCCTTGGATTATAGACCGAATTTAAAATATACGTTTATTTTTTATTTAGTTAAAGTAGAGGGTACTTATTAATTTTCTTAGCAATTTTCGTTTATTTAAACACTATTGGTATCCATTTAAAATTTCTTATGTTAATTTGTTTGCTTTTCCGGCTCGGCAGTTACCTTTTTGACAGCCTGAGGGTTTTTGGATGGGGATGGGGCTTCCTGATTCCTATCCTGACTGGGACTGTGACTGGTTCCGCTGGAGATCCTGTCCTGCACCCGATGGTGTTCCGCGGTGGCGGTGATCGAGGAGCTGGGCTCATGGTGCACCGTCTGCTGGTGGGGATGGTCGTCGGGGTCCAGGCGACTGGGGACTATTGAGTACCGGTAGTTCTTCACCCGCAGGTAGCCGTAGATGAGGGCATCGTGGAGGCTCACAGTTATCTGGCGCTTCAGCTCCTCATCGCTGCGATCCAATCGATCGGCAACCGCCTCGATGATCTCGGGCTCAGTCAGCGGATGATCCGCATCCGCGATCACCTGCAGGATGTTGCTGAACAGGTTTGGGATGAGCTTGCGCCTTGGTGCCCGGTTGTAGCTGCTGTGCAACATCCTGGAGCTGGGACTGGAGTCCTGATCCCTGGATTTCGTTGAGGGACAGAGTCCTGATTCCGAACTGAGATTTAAAAACGATATATAGGCCGTGTCAATGTGACACACAAGGCTATGGTTCCTAGTTTATTAAAATCTTTTTCTTAAAGCCATATTATAAGGTGGTTATAAACATTTTCTGCTCTGCCATAAAGTTTCCTAGAGCCTTCTCTTCGGCTGTTAATTAAAGAGTCACTCCTGGGTAAACCAAACTTTGTTCTGCTGCCAGTCCCAAAAGTTCACCTTTTTGCGGTTTCCATTTCAATTCGATTGTCTTTCTCTGCCTTTTCTTCACTTAGACTTAATTTAGAAGTTTACTTAAAAGTTGATCAACATTGAAATATGCAAAAATTTACTAAATAAATAAAAAAATAATAATATTTTTAAGGTGAAGTAGAAAAAAAGTGCTTTCGAAACTGGCACCCGAGCAGGGACCAAATAGTTCCTCAATGCCCCTCAACATCTCCTACATTTTCTTGACTTCAGTTTTCAGCCAACTTTTATAATTACCATAGACTTGAAAGTGTTTCCTTGAATCGTGATAAATATAGACAGCAAGTATCGTTAAGTCGCAACCACCGACTTTGGGGCTTTTCGCTTGTCTTCGTCGAGACAGTCAGTTAGTCAGAGGTTGGAGGCCAAGATGATTCCTGGCAGGGGGCAGACAGGCAGGCAGTCTGAATATCGATTTACAGTTAAAGTTGCTACTGCTACAGCTGCGGATGCGAGTGCGGATGTGGATGCGGATGTTTCAGCAAGTGAGTATGGGTAATCAAGTACAAATGCGGGGGGGGTGAATTCCAAGTAGAGCCGATGACGCCATAGACACAAAAGAAGGAACTGCGACAGGCGCTTCAAATTTGCATGGCATCCGAGGAAAAGGAAGGGACATCCGCATCATTGTTAGTGTAATTTGTTGTTATTGTTGTTGTGTCTGGCACGTGTCGCAAGGAATTTTAGATAGGAAGAACGTTTTTTTTAGTGGTATGGAATGGATGGATGGCTGGATGTAGATGCCCAAACAAGGCATAACACAATAACCGCAACTCGATTGAAATCTTCACGATGGCAAAATCACATCTATCTGGACGCGAGGGGTGGCTAATGAGTTTGGCATGCGCAAATTCTCCTTTTAGCTGGCGCCATGTATCTCAAAGTGCGTTGCATTCCTAATTACACCACCGAGTGCGGTGAAAGCTGTCAGCAGCAGGTACGAGATACACTAGGAGAAATGTCACAGAAATAGTTTTATATTTAAAAAATCAATAAACATTGCATTGGATCTAGTAAAAGTTTATAAAAATGTTTAATGTACTAGAATAATCAAAGTGCACTGTTTTAAATGTACCTAAGAATCCTTGGAATCTAGTTAGATGATATATATATGCCTTATAATATATCTTAGATATATCCCTCAGTACATTTGCACATGGCTGCCATATACGTAAACCCAATCACCATCTCCACATACCCCTTAGCAGCTGTCAAGCTTGATTAGCAACTTTGAGCAGTTGAAACGAAGCTAACTTTTGTTTCACATCCATTTCGGTTTCATATTATTCCCCCTTAAACTCCAACTCGAAGGCTGAAGCTGAACTCAAAGCTGGAGCTGCAGCTGAGTGTTAATTATGACTGACAGCGTTGGCAAGCTCTACACATTTCAGCACTTGGACACCACCCAGCCACCGAGGAAACGGGCCACCGACCCACTGAACCACCCAACCACCCACGTCCAGTGGCTGCAAGTTTGACTAATCCGGCGCCAGTGATTAGGCCAGGCTCCAAATGCGACTAGTAACAATTAAAGCCAGCCAGTTGCGGCTGGGAAAGTTTATCCCCCTAAAAATCTCATCATCTGTACACGGAAAAAAGCGTACATATAAAGAAACTGGCTAATTTATACTAAATCATAGTAAAATAAAGCAGCTAAGTTTGCCCTCAAGTGATATACTTATGTATTACATATTATGCAGTATCAAGTTCTTGATCTATTATTTCAATACTTAAACATTTTAAAAATCTTATATAATATTTTATAGCTAAGTAAGGAAAAATGCATAGGTATAAAGGAATAGCTTAATGTATTAATACAATAGTACAAAATTTGTCTCAGTGATATTTCTAGTTTTAAATTCTTAGTATATTATTATTATAACATTCTTAAAAGTTTTTTAAAGGTGAGTTAAAAATGTTGAGAACTTAGTTTTTGCTATAAAAAATGTTATTAAAAAAGTTTTCCCTTTGAAATAAGATCATTTGATCATTCACTTGGAGTATAAAATTAACAAGAAAAGAAACAATATTTTCTTTTACTTGAAAACTTAACCTATTTTGTTAGACTAACTCGTTTTTTCCTAGTGCACTTCCCTCTCATGCAATTAACTGAAACTTTTATGCTCCATTTGGGGAGGGGAGTGATGCAAGAATTATGACTCGAAATCAGGCGAGCAGCGCACACATGGAAAATAATTTATTTTACGATTAGCGGACAACGATATAGCCACCGTTCCCGCCCCCTTTTCCGCTGGCCAACGATGCGTATAAGTGACTGGGTGTCGTACACCCGCTGGTCGGTGAATAAGTGCTATATGCCCCATGGCTATATGGTAACTGGACATTGTCCATGGGAATAGCGGCGTCGCTGGCGTCAGCAATTCCATTCAACGCCGTCAACAGCGGAAGTTTTCCCATTCAAAAGCGTTTGGCAATAAACTGTACAGTGAGTTATCGATGTGAGGGAGGCGGTTAGAGATAACTCTGCGCTATGATAATGTCAAAGTTTTCGTTGATAAATGGGTTGTTTCACCCCTGTGCATATTAGTTTTACCTAGATGGTATCGATTTATTTTCAAAGTTTAAGATCCATAATTTATTTTAGCAATAATACCTAAAAACGAATCATTCGTAGAAACTTTCGGCTATTTAAGTTAGTCGGATTAAATCCTCATACCAAATTGAATTTCCATATAAGATAGTTTTTGCTACTTTTTTAAAGACGATTAGTTCTTTATTATGAGCATAAACATTCTCACATTATTTTCTCGACGAAGCTATAAAAAAAACCATGACATAAGTAAGAAAATATTTGCCAGTTAGGGCAAATTGTAAACATGACGCATATTTCCGCCATGTGCCAAGTTTTCGCCGGTGAAAACGATACCCAAGTTGGCTCCCAAAGTTTTGCCCCAATTGCCCGTCTTCAGCAAGTAGTTAAGTTAATTTCCAGTGTGCTGGGATTATGGCGCGGGTAAGGTGAAAGTGCGAGTAAAAACGAAAGTGAAAGTGAGCCAAGGACAGAGGCGCACTCAAATAATAATAATAATCACAATCTTCGAGGGGCATCTTAATGGGAACGCTAAGCGGAAAAGTTTTTATGATTTTTATTAGTTTTGTCTCGCGATGGGATGCCAAACAAATGGCCAGTGCCCCCTCGTAATATATATTGGCATCCGGGGATTGGATCGGATTGGATTGGACTGGATTGCGAGGGGGGGTCCTGGCGTTTTTTCCCCGGTTGAGATTTATCAATGCCACACGCGATGGACAAGTTGCTGGACTTCTGGCTGCATGTCGATATGGATATATGGATGGACGGAAATGGTCAGCTGTCGAGAGTGGGGGAGGGTGCCGAGTTCGAGTCCCGGTCCACCCTCGAGGCGTTGCTAATCTAATTTGCCGTTATTGGCGGGCCAGATTAGCACTCACGCACTCAGGGCGGGCACACATGTGTGTGTAATGCGTATCGCGTGTGCGGAGATTCCATTCCGAATTGCCTATAATTTGGCGAAAAATGCACTGAGGAAAATTAGTGGAATTTTTAATTTTTTTTTTTAAGTTTCTTTGATAAAGGCAGTAATTTTTATAATAGTAGAAAATTGAGCTGGCATTCAATTCCGAATAAAAGAGTTTTTTCACTGTTTAAAACTATCTATTTTATTTTCAGAATAGACAGTTGGGAATTATAAGCCCATTTAATATACAGATTATTATACAGACATAATCCTAAGAAATTACATTCATAGAAAGCTATGATGTATTATTTAACATTTAAATTTAAAGATCTCAAAAGAAAGCTCATTCTGAAAAAATGATTGGGAATTATAAGCATTAAGTGCACAGTAAATTATAATTACATAAAACTCTTAAAAGCAATATTTCTAGCTACATTGCAAGAAAACATACATCTATTTTAAGCTTATATAAGCTTTTATATATGAAAATGATGGTTTTAATAATAGTTTTTTCTCCCAGTGTTATAGAAACAATGGAAGGCAGAAGGACATATTACCATCTCTGGGCTGAGGACTCGAAAATCGGAAAACTGAGGACCCAGGACTCAGCCACAGCCTGGCACTCACTCACACACATTACACTATAGGCTGGCTGAACACTTTTTGTGGCCAAAATTAATAACTTCAAGCAAAACCAAATATTTGAGTTCGGTTCTTATATTTGGGCTTATAATTAGCAAACTAACAGAAAAAGGCGTGGCAACGCCCCATTTAGGAGAAATTCTATTTGTATCATAAAAAATAATATAAAAATATATAAGAAAATACTTACCCTAAAAACAAAACATAATTTAGAGGTGTATATTTTTGATTTGGATTTATATCGATGTAATGAACATATATATAGAAAAAAGGTGTGGCGCCGCCCATTTTTCACATGTTAAATCGAAAACAATTCTGAGTTGTCTAACCTGAGGTTGTGACCTAAAAAGGTAAATTGCGACGAAAGTGCGCAAAAGTGCACTTTAGGATAGCATTCATATGAACAAGAACTGAACTACCGACAACACAGTGTAAATATTAAGGTGAAACTAGGTAAAACTCACTTTATATCTCTATTTAAAGTTAGTTTTTATTGTAAATTTGTACACGTAAAGCGACTATAAAAAACACTCAATTACAGGGACAACACAAACAAATCCAACTTGTGACGACCACAAACATAAAGTACAAACCGCTATCTTTCGATGCCATCATAACTTGTTTGGTAAAAACTTAGTTTGGTGCCTTATTTTTATAATTTTAAACCGACTCTTTTTTTCACAAAGTAGCTTTCGTG